TACACATACTGTATATATATATATATATTTTTTTTTTTTTTTGGCGTAATATATTGTTTTAGACCTAATTTGTATATATTACAATGCATTTTTTCTTATACTGTCAACACCTAAAGATGGCAAGATGACTGTTGCTGTGGTTGCAACAGTTGCAATGGTAAGTATTTTATCATGCATTTGGGGAGTCCCTGATGAAGCCCACCAGTTAGTGATAATTCAAATGCATCATTAGGGCTAAAAAGTCTGAGTCAGACTTCCTTTCGTCTAGATAAAAGTGCACATGGCCTGTTGCTGATTGCTGCTTACTGTCTGCTGAACCACATCAAAACCAAACCTACACACTCTGACAAACCGCTACCTGAAACTACCTTTCAGAAAACCCCTGATAACAAAACCTACTTACTGGTCTAGGGCTTTATAGTAGATGTCCAGGTCCTTATTGGCCAACTCTGTTGTTCTCATCACAATCATTTTGTCTCTGTAGAGATCCTCGGCCCGGCAATATTGGTCCTCACTGAGCTCTTTCCGAAAACGAAGGATCTCGTCCTCGTAGCCTTTCTGACGACCGAGAGCCACACTGCGGTTCTTTTTCAGGTCCTCCAACTTTCGCTCCACTTCTCGCCGCTCACTTGACAACAGAAGACATACTTTTTAAGATGCACATTAATTTGATGTTCACTCTCACACTTACAAAAGGTCTAAGCAAAGTAGTTATCATTAAAGTAATTAGGAGATGGATTCATTTAGAGTTATGGTAACTAAAGAGCATACTTGGCACATTAAGCTGAGCTTCTAAAAGGTCAAACATTGTCAGGACTTCCTAACTTGTACTTGGTAGTGATTTTAAGTGATCTCATACTTGCGCAGCTGCAGAACTTGCATGTTGCCCATCTCTTTAAGTAAGTCTTCATGTTTCCTGGACACCTCTTTCAGCTCCTCCACGCGCTTCCGTAAGGTCAAGTTGTCCTGTAGCCAGCGCTCTTGAACCTGTTAAAAACCATCATATAACAACAAACAAAATAGAAAACCATGTTTCATTTTAGGAATAAAATGTACACATATTGTGATAAAATATGCATTTCAGACAAGTGGTCTCAGATGATTAATCAGCTATAATTGTATTATTTCAAAATAGCAGCCAACAACCGCATCCAAGTCAGAAGATTTTCAGAATTTCAGAATTCTGATGTTACAAGTGTTCAATATGCTCACAAAAGCAAACAAAAGCAAAAACACAGGAAGCTTTGCTTGGCACCTTCTGAGTGTCAATATCTTGTCGAATGTTGCCCATGTCTTTATTGATCTTCTCTCGCTGCTTTTCAGCCTCATGTAGTTGTTTGTCTACCTCTTGTAGCTCAGTTTCTTTTTGCTAAAGAAGTCAAAAAGTAAAAAAGAAAATACAT